CTATGTAGGCACTCTCAAACTCTCAGGAATGACCTTACCTCAACCAAAAATGCAGCAAAGCACACTAAAGGTTGATGGCTCAAAGTGAGAATATAAATAGGTACCAAGAATCCCCATCCCTAGGCTACTTCAACTTCTTTAGCTCTTCTATACATTGAGCCCAATTGGGTTTTTAAGTGAAAGAGCATAAACTCAACAATCTCCCACTTGCTATAAGGTGAAACCACCTGAGGTTGAGGTAAAACTTGACCTATGACAAGCTCATCAAGAATAATTGTACTCCTTGGGTACCAAGAAACCCTAGCCCTAGGCTACTTGGGCTTCTTCGGCTCTTCTCATACACTGAGCCCAATTGAGATTTTAAGTGAAAGAACATAAACCCAACAATCTGCAACTTGCTCTTAAGTACAAAATTTGAGCCCAAAGCCCAAGGCCATGAAACTCACTAGTCATCATCAACTGATAATGCCTCATCCCTTATTTTGAGATAGCCTGGGGATCTATCAGCTATTATTAATCAAGGCTCCTAATAATCAACAAATGATTATTTAATTTGGTGCTTGTAACATCCCACGTAATTAAAGAAATTGCATAAAATATTATAAGGTATAAGAATGCATGTGTGTAAAGTCGAACTCCATGTAATATTTGTTGGTTCTCGAATTACATGGTTACTAGTATAGAATTAGTATTGAGTTAGGAAATTATTAGAATTAATTATGATAATAGGGAGAATTTATTTTAGGCATATGGAACCATAGTGAAAGATGGAGAAACAAATTAATAGTAACATATGTAGAGATTAAAAATATTCCAAAGACTTGGGAACTTATAATTTTATGGGTTAGTATCTAAGTTAGTGTCATTGTGGGCTTGTGTACCTTTACTTCCCCAAATCTTATTTGGCCGAACCTATAGGGCCTTAGGAGGGGCTTTTTGACCCTTATGCCCCTTAATTAATAATTAATTACCAAATTGCCCCTCATTCAAAACTATTTCGAAAATTTACCCTCCCCAACAAACATAACACCAATCTGCCCCTGTTTGACCGTTGACCACGAAGCCTACCCGGGTACACCATTACCTACCCGGGTAAATTTTGAAACTTTTTATCTACCCGAGTATGTAGGGGTGTACCCGGGTAGAGTTCTTGAATCTGGGAAAATGTTTGAATTATTTACCCGGGTACGTAGCAGTGTACCCGGGTAAATCGCGTCCAGAAACCCCAATATGTATGGGTTTCGGCCATTGTTGCGAGGTATAGGGTTTTTGAAACCCCAAATCTTTCTCTCTTACCCTCTCTAATCCGAAACATCACACATATTTCATCTCATCATTTCAGAAAGCTGAATCTTGGGGGGACATTGAGATTACATCTCCACACTCCCATTTTGTGCTAAAAAATCTGAACCAACCTCCAAACCCAAAACCTAGATCTAATTTTTGTGTGAAAGATGAGTTCAAGTCCAAACATGGTTCCTATAGTTGTTTACTACAATGGGAGGCATTTTGAAGGTCCGAACGGTGTCCGATTTGAAGGAAAAACAAAAACGATGAAAATCAAAGTGGGCACTACATGCAATGAACTGAAGGAGAGAATTCTTCAAAAAATGGGGTCAGAAGGCATACATTCCATCCACCGCATGATAGCCAGGTTAGAGACTGTAGTGGATATGGATACAATATACTACATTGGAAACGATATAAATGATGATGAAGATGTGGAGTTCGTAACAGATGCGTTTGTTGAATGGAAAGTATTAAAATATATTGAGATATATGTTGAAGTTGATGTTGGACAATCTTCATCTTTACCGGTGCATACAACCACTACTGCACACTGTACCGGTCAAGAAGATACAGTTGTACGATCTTCTGCACCTCCTCAGGTAGCATGGGATGAGGATGAAGAGGATGAAGACGAGGACTATGTGGACAGCGAAGAGGAGGGAGAACCTGAAAGTGCTATTCCAGAAGGTGATTCGTCAGACACTGATGTGGACGGTAATTTTGAGGCTGACATGAGCGCCGTAAGTCTCGGTACCCCAGCCTTGTCACCACTTCATGTGGACCCAGTCAGTAGTGGTAAGTTATTAAATTTGAATATTTGCTTTAGACAATTTATTATTTGTGGTAAGTTATTAAATTTGACATGATCTTTAGATGCAGGGTCTGAGGAGCCATTCTGGAATGAAAGCCAACATTATTCATTCATTAACTGGGCGCACCCTAATGACGAGTTGGAGATCCTATATGGCGATGATGACTTGCACGGAGGTTGGAAGTTAGGAGATCCGTTATTTGTGCAACAAGAATTTGGGTCCAAACCAGAATTGCAACATGCTGTGAAGATACATTGTATGAAGGGGCGCAGGACAGCCATAGTTGAAAAAAGCGACGAGTCAAGATTTGTTATGAAGTGTAAAAACCATGCTGACGGTTGTCCCTGGTATATGAGGGCAATTAAGCCGAAGAAGGGAGCTAACTGGGTGGTCCGTAAATGGGGTCAAGGTCACACATGCCTAAATCAAGGCCTAGCACAGGATCATAGACAGTTGGATTCAAATGTCATTTGTGCGGCTATAATGAGTATGTATTCTACTGTTTATTTAATGATTCAGATTAATTGAGAATATGGTAAAGTTAATTTTTTTTTTCCAGATATGTTAAAGGAAGATCCATCCACAAGACCAGCTCTGATACATGAGAGGATACAGGGAACATATGGATACAACATAACGTACAGGAAGGCCTGGAAGGCAAAAATGAAGGCCATCGTTAAGTTGTTTGGTGACTGGGAGAAATCGTACGCATTCTTGCCAAATTGGCTAAAGTATATGACGGAGGTGAATGTGGGTTCTGTGTTCAAACTTGATACAAATCAATGTTTTGATGAACGTCGGGTTTATACAGACAGGGCCGTATTTCAAAGGGTTTTTTGGACATTTCACCAATGCATTGAAGCATTCAAACACTGCAAGCCTATAATTCAAATTGACGGCACTCATCTGTATGGGAAGTACAGAGGTACTCTATTGATTGCAACATCTCAGGATGGAGATGGATTTCTGCTCCCTATTGCCTTTGCTGTTGTTCCTCCAGGTGAGTAAATAATTTTGCTTTGGGGTATGTGAAAGCATGTGACCCTTCTTTGCCACTTCATACTGTAAATATTTTCTGAGCTCATCCCTATTGACTTTGTTGTTGTTCCTCCAGGTGAGAGGTTGGATGATTGGTCCTGGTTTCTTAGCCTTTTACGTTTTCATGTCACACACAGGCATGGTATTTGTCTAATATCCGATCGTCATCGAAGCATCATAAGGGCGGTGAAAGACCACGGAGGGTGGCAGCCTCCATATGCTTATCATGTATTTTGTCTACGTCACATCGGAAGCAACTTCAATACCCGTTTTAGGAATGTGGAATTGAAGAAAACGTTGATGAAATTAGGTAATGTACGGTATAATTACTCACATTTTCAACCATTTGAAGAAAACGTTGATGAAATTCACTAACTAATGCATATGTCATGGTTTTTTGCAGGGTACACATGTTCAAAGATAAATTTCGACATTAGGTACAAGGAATTTATCGAGAACAATCCTGAAGTTGCTTCATGGTTGGATGCGATTCCGAAAGAGCAATGGTGCAGGTCGTATGATGAGACAGGACGTAGGTTTGGTCATATGACAACTAACCTATCTGAGTGTGTGAATAAGGTGCTTCGTGGAGCACGAAATCTGCCTATATCTGCATTGGTCAAGATGACATTCAGTAGACTCGTTGAGTATTTCGTCAAGAGACGTGAAGGGATTGAAAAAGATATCTCACAAGGTTGGATAATTTCAAAGAAGGTTGAGGCAGCGTTGCAAAAAAATGATGAATTGGCTGGCACTTATCGTGTGAGGATATATGATAGTGACCTGTTATTGTTTGAGGTTGAGGATGCCTACAATCAATCTACACACGAGGTCGGTGACATCATGAGAGTGGACTTAATCAATCGTACATGTCAGTGTGGTAGGTTTACAGCAAGGAGGTATCCCTGCAGTCATGTATTAGCAGTTTGCAAGGTGGCCAAGCTAAACCATTATGATTATGTGGATCATGTTTTCAAAATTCCAACCATTGCTAAAGTATATGCTGCACACTGGTTTCCTATTGGCAATGAATTGTTGATTCCATCCGTTGTTGGGCCTACTGTAATTCCGGATGCTCAGTTGGTACGTGCAAAAGGAAGACCAAAGTCTTCAAGGATTCAGAATGAGATGGATTGGGTTGAGTCTCAACCCTCTAGCAGTCAGAGCAGATGTAAGCATTGCAAGCAAGTTGGACATAACATTCGTACATGTCCATTGAGACTAAGACAAGCATGATTACGTATTGTTTTTGTGTAGTACTTTGTTTTGTAATGACAATCACTTTACGTATTGTTTTGTTTCCTTGTACCCTAAACTTTATCTTGTATTTGTTATGTATTGTGTTGTTGAAATGTATTGTTGAACTGTATTCTTGTGTTGTTGAAATGTATTGTTGAAATGTATCCGTTAAGTTTAGCGAGTCACTCGTTCCGTATTGTGCAATCCGAATGTCTACCATACCCATTTACCCCTTCCCCGAGTCAGTTAAGGTTATTGTATTACACATCAATTACCAAGATGCTAACAAAATGGATTGAACAGCACCTGCTGCTGCATCTGCAACTGGTCTACCCGGGTAACTCGTAATGATATACCCGAGTACATACTACCCGGGTAGACTATTCGTGGTACCCGGGTAGACCAGTTGCAGAAGCTGTTGCAGATGCTGTTTTGGCAATTTTTGTTGCATTTTGGTAATTGTTGTGCAATACCTACATACGGTATGACTTGGGGGTGGATTGACAATATTAATGCAAGGTCCCATACTAATGCATAGAACCAACAAGTCTGAACGTGCACAAAACGAAAATTTCATTCATTCAAATTTTGAATATCCAGTACAAAAACATCCATGCAATGTAGGTAAAGTTCCTAAATGTACCAAAATGACTACATTACATCAAACTAAATCAATGATATGAAACCCTATGGACACACTAATCTGATGCCGTGTCCTCCCCATTCTCTTCATCCGATTGTGTGTCATCCCCATTGTCATCATCCTCCTCCTCCTCCTCCTGAGTATGGGCACCCTCGCCAATTAAACCCTCCAAGCGTGAAACCCTTGTGTCCAACCGTGCAACCCTTGTGTCCATCTGGTTTCGCCACTTGCTCGTGCTCTGTCTATATCCTCTAAAGTCAGTAGTCAGATCATATAAGGATGCCATGACATGATCAAGTGTCCATCCACCCTCAGGAGGAGCTGGTGGTCGCCGACTGCGGGTGGGACGTGTCGGTCTGACATCAACCTCAGCAACGCCATCATCATCGTCATCATCATCAAGGCCTACATCATAAACCATGAAAAACAAACTTCAATACCACATTAAAAATTAAACAACACAAAATTGCATAAACTCATAAAGACCAACACATCACCTGCAGGTGCATCCTCCATCTCAGCATCGTGGTGGAATGGGATCTCAGGTGGTTCTGGTGCCTTCTTCCACGTCCAGATACCCGCTCTGTTCGGTAGGATCCCACACTGCTTCAGGAGCCTCTCACCAAATATAGCATTCCAGCCTCTGGCGGTCTTCAAGGTCTCTGTTGCCATAGGCACTCCAAATCTATGCAGAATCTTCTGCACCAGAAATGCAAAAGGCAATTCAGCCTTCTTTGACTTGGCTGCCTTCCACATCAGTATGCATATGTAATGCCTCCAGTTCACCTGCTGACTGTGAAGGAGGGCCCACAGGATGACAAAGTCCCCTTCCAGCACCTTTGAGTGATTATGCGGGCGCTGGAAAATAATATGTGTCACCACATAATGAAGAATGCGAGCAGAAACTGACAAGTTGCTAACAGGATAATGAGCAAAATGACCGGGCTCAGCGTCTGCCCTCCTAGTCTCTGTAACAATGGTCTCCCGGTTATAATCACCAAATATATGATGGCTGTCTCCATCATATAGTGCTGCTCCTGTGACACCATCAAAATCGAACCCCAGTAGCTCCGTCCAGATAGGAGCAGTCATGATGATATCAATCCCGCAGACACGGGAAGTCAGCTCGCCTTGCGAGTAGCCAAGGTTCTGGTAGAAGGCTCTTACCATAACCTCCGAGTATGGGCACCGCATCTCCGCCAGGTGAAGTAAATGTGTCTGCTCCAGAAGCGGCACGATGTCAAAACGCTCTAGGTTGAAGAATGCCGAATCTAGTGATTTCGGTTCGCAGATCTTCCGGGTCATGAAAAACTTCACGAACTTCTCGTGTGAAGGAATGTCATCCTCAAACAAATATCCGAACGTCAAGTCCGGAGCCTGACTCGAAGCAGCCTGGGGCTGAGAGGATGACGACCCATCGTGACGACTCTTGGTTCTTCTCTCGGAATGGGTCACTGGCAGCTTTGAAACGCGTCGAGAGGTCATTGTGTCACACTATTAAACTGAAAAAATAACCAAAATCAGAAATTAGATACATGTTAGGGTTAGGGTTAGGGTTAGGGTTAGGGTTAGGGTTAGGGTTAGATTCAGGGTTAGGGTTAGGGTTAGACAAATTGATAAAATAATTCGGACAGAATCAAATGATATAAACGAAAATACAATGAATCAAAACAGAAATCATAACATAATTGAAAAAACTGAAAAAAAAATTCACCTTTGATCGATTTCAATCGGTAGAAGGCAGAGAGGTTGCAAGGTCCGCGAATGATGATCACAAACAAGACGAATTAGTGCAAGATTCTGCCTGAAATCGCTCAAGATGACACTCCTCCAGCAGCTCTACTCGGGTACCCCTTTTGTGGGTTTTCGAAATGGGGCTGCTGGGGTATTTTAAAACCCTACCGTCGATGTTTACCCGGGTACACTGCTACGTACCCGGGTAAATAATTCAAACATTTTCCCAGATTCAAGAACTCTACCCGGGTACACCCCTACATACTCGGGTAGATAAAAAGTTTCAAAATTTACCCGGGTAGGTAATGGTGTACCCGGGTAGGCTTCGCGGTCAACGGTCAAACAGGGGCAGATTGGTGTTATGTTTGTTGGGGAGGGTAAATTTTCGAAATAGTTTTGAATGAGGGGCAATTTGGTAATTAATTATTAATTAAAGGGCATAAGGGTCAAAAAGCCCCTTAGGAGGTGTTCAAGGATTTAGCCCAAGCTCTTTACATTTTACCCTAATCTAATCTCATCCTAAGTAATCCAACAAGGCATCCTTTAAGGGGGTAACAATCACCACATGGCAGAAAACCTATACTTGTTTTTCTATCACATGAGCGCCTAGGTCAAGTAAAATGGGGAAACCAAAATTCTGATTACTTGTAGGGATCAACTAGCTTTAAAGACATGCAACCAATGAGGCTTATATGGTCAGCCTGCATGTCATTTGTGTGGGCAGAAAATTCTGCTCCCAATCAC